TGAAATAGGGGGCATTACTTTTGGAGTAGCCTATACTCTGAATTAGTGGGTGAGTGACTCATCCATCAGTGTTGTGTTAACCGGAAGGTTCGGCTCTCAGCTTTGCTGTGTGGTGAGTATATTCACCAATGTGTTAAAAGCCAGTGAAGACAGGCAAAGTAAAGCACATGGTGTGAAGAGCCTTTTAAAGGGAGAGGAGCCAAGAAGCAAGATCTTAAACTGGAATTTCTTGTCGCCCTCATGCGGGTGCCACTGCATCAGCTGTAGTCTGGAGTGTCTCTTCAAAATGATTGTCCTTTTGTTAGTCTAATGAGAATGTGACTTTTGGGTATGTTCCTGTTTTGAATGCAAAGACAAAATACTTGGCAAAGTAGGATAAAACTCCCCAGATAACCACAGAATGGACTTTCAGTTGTAGAAGCCTTATGACATTGACTATACAAATCCAGCAATGATCTTTAGGATTATGCATGCACAGAGTTCCCAGTTTGTGATCTTCTCTGAAAGTTTAATCCACGTATTGACTCACCAGAAAGAGATTGAGAACAAAAATCCATGAAGAGACCAACCTTGGCACTCCAAATTAGGGTACCTTGGCTTTCTCACTGCCAACTCCTTAGCATGTTTAAGAGGATGGAAGTGAGTGTGTTTTTCGCTATTGTAGAATTTTCATGTAATCCGTGGTCTGATTATATTCCAGGAGAGTATTTACAGGTGTGCAAAGCCTGTAGACCATCTTTGCAATTGAGCTGACATCTTGGCTGTGCCAATACTGCCTCTGTGGGCAGTACCAGAGAAAGTCCTGGACTCCAGGCCAGATGGCATAGACTGACTAATGTTCATGCTATGTGGTTGTCCTACCCTTTGGAACAGATCATGCTGACACTGCACTGGACACTGGCGAGAGGTTGGTCTCCTCCTTGTTCCCTGTGGTGCCTCCTGAGACATGCATATTTTTTTTTTAGTTAGTTGATTGATTTGTTGTATTTTCTGCTTAAAAGAGTCTAGAATAATGAGAAGGCTGGGACAGTCTGGCACAGTGGTGCTTTTATAACTCAGTGCCAGGAGTGTGTGTTACATGGCACAAGAGTGCATGGAAGAATCTGAAAGCTGGGGACTGCAGAGTTTTTGTTGGAGGATTTTCCCAGGTCAGGGGAGCCAAAGCTGGCACACTCTGCATGTCTGGAGTGGGCTGGCCTTGTCAGCTGAGCCTGAACCTCCTCTAAAGAGGATCCACCAGAGCCATTCCATAAGAGAAACTGGGACTGAACTGATATGCATAGCTTTCCAAAAGACTGGAGCGAAAGTTAGTAAACCATATTGATAGTACAGACATAGCCATTCAAGATCATAAAAGGATTCACCTTGTTTTAACAAATCCAGGGTGTGTATTTGGTTCTGCTAGATAAATTACACAAGTGTCCCATCAGAGGCAGGACTACAATTCAGGTCTAGAAATGCACTTCTCTGTCACTCCATTTTTTATCTGTAACTTTCTTTTAAGGTTGCATCTCTTGTCTATACAGACATTTAGCCACGCAAACAGAAGTTGTGTAATATAGGTGAGATTCATCACACTTAATTTTATACGTCTAAATATTAGTAGTGCAAGCCTAATTGAGATTTACACAGCAAACTTTTTGATATCTGAAATCTGGTGGCATGAATCTACCTTGTATGTTTGTGCAGGAAAGTGATACTGTGCAAGAGACTGGTTCTGGAGACTGTTACTAGCCACAGTCTAACACTGTCTCCTTGGCAGGGTTGACTGGCCTTGACTCTTGCCATAACCTGGACTTTGGAACGTTAAGCAGTTTAACAGTACCTTTTCTTTTAATCTGTAATCTGTTCTGCAGTGGATAATGTTTTGGTTATAGCCTCTGATATATTTACCTGTTCTCACAACAGGCAGCTGCTTTTCCCTCCAAATCTCTTGTTTTAAGCCTGCCATAAATTCTCATAAGCTCTCCCAGTGGAAGATTGCCATCTCCTTGTCTGAATACTTTTGCCTGATACTGAGCCAGAGGGCACGGGACTCCCCTGAAAAGGTTTCTGCACTTGCTGCTCCCTGAGCCACCAGCCCAGGAAAGCCCTGAGGCAGATGCTAAATTTTTCATTAGATGAGTATTCCTTTTCTAGCCCAAACTATTCTAGGCTACTCCATTTTTTCTTTTGGATTTTGTGCTGCCCTTGTCTCACTAGTCCTTGAACTCCTTTAGGACATTGGTAGTGCTAAACCCAAATGCTTCTTTCTCCCTCCTTTCTTCTTCTTGATAAAAGAACTATGTAAGATTTAAAAACAAAACCACAGATACTTAGTCATTGAATCCTGCAGTTGTAGAGCGTTGCTGTAGTTCTGCAAAACCCATTAATCCTTATGAATTTCACAGTATCACCCTCTTCTTCTTGGGGTTTAAGAGCACACTATTGACTTGTCTGCCACCCAGACCCTTCCATTCTATTAAAAACATACAAACAGATGAACAAAACCTATTCTGCAACTCAGTTTTTCCAGTCATATTGGTTCGGTGGGCACGTCTTCCAGCAGTTGCAGAAACTCCCAAGTCTGCACCTGAATAGCAGAAACTTTCCTCTCTTTGGCTCCCATATCAAATCAAATTGTTGTTTATTTTATTGCCCTGATAAATTTTTTATTAACTGCGTTACAATTCCATGAGGAGGAGGGAGGGGGAAGAGAGAGAAAAAAGCTGTTCAGGAATGTAGGCTGGGCATAGTGCCCACAATTAATGGGGTAGCAGTGACCAGCGGGTAGTTGAAAATTCACCAGTGCCAACTGCCAAGAGCATTTTGCTGCCTGTGACAGCTGGTCATCATTATTGGACGACTGCTTCTGTGTACATCTTAGTTTTGTATCTTTGTATGCCTCTTACCCAGTCACTCCCGATTTCTGTTTGCAGGGACATACTGAAGCAATTAGGGCATGCTGGATGGTAGTAGGGATGAGTGAACAGCACTGAGAAAATACATAAAACATAAAATTTATCTCCTATTCCTGCCCTAATTCCCATATCAAAGAACTTAAACCACTGTTTCTGAGATAGGGCTCCCTCAGCATTGGATGAATTTGAATTGGGGCTTTGGAGCTCTACCCGACCACTTGGTTAGGCCTTATTCCTTGCTGCAACAGGGCAGTTGATCACTTTAAAAAGAGTTAGAACCCATACTGACCGCGATAGCCATCTTCAGCAAGCCAACCCAGCCTTTTAATGCACCATATATCTGGCGTTTGTGTCTGCTGGCCCACTAATGAAATAGTGAACACCTAATCTTGATGGCTTATACTGCACAGTTGCCACTAACAGGGGCAAACCAAGACCACTGTCTGTGCCATCCAACCTGAAGGAAAGGATCTGTAAGTATAAAAGCATTGTATGGGTCTGTTAGAAGCACATATGTGAGGCATTCATGTGCTCCTTGGGAATGCACTGAATTGAGCAGATGAGCCAAAGCAGAAAAATTGAGGTGGAGAAAGACCTCAGAACAGAAGGGTTAAATGCAATGCAGGCACATTCAGGTGAGGGTGAAGCAGCAGCAGCATTCATCTATCTGCAGAGAATTTAAAGGAGATAAATCCTTTTTCACTGTTTTCACTGAAATTTTTGACATGGAGACCCCCACAAGGAGCAGCTGTATGGTAACTCACAAGAATTAGATGCATAAAGCTTGTTTACGATCTAGAGGGAACTCCAAGGCAAAATGCGCTCACCGTGTGTCATGTGAAGTGAACATGTGAAACAGGAAATTGTTGTAGATGCTAATCCTCTTAGGTTTTGTGTAGTTTCTGTTCCTCCTTCATCTGCTGCACTCAGCCATTGGCCAGTCTTGTAAGGGGAACCTCAGACCAGTGATGGAAAGAGCCATCTTGTGCTCTTAGGAAAATGTACCTTCATGTCTTCAGCTTTCCCACTCAGTATTACAGAGCTAGGAGAAGTGACCTGATCTATTTAAAGGCATAAATGGGGAATACTTGGCACCACGCAAGGGGAAGGAACATAGGATTCTGGATGACTTTTTTTGTGGCAGACTCGGAAGTCCTGAATGGAAAAAAAATTCGGTTCTTGGGATGAATCTGCCATTCAATTGGAGAGAAGGCTGAAATCAGTCTTGAGGAACATATTTCAGCCAGGGATGCTAAGCGTGGGAAAGAAAGAGGGTACTGAGTCCTTCAGGCTAAAGTTCTTATCAGACATGACATCTCAGCAGGGAAATATTATCAGTAAGGGCATTATTTACTTTCTGTAAGTATGAAAGGTAACCATACTGTGAATATTATTTTTTTTTACTTCCACATCTGTATAACAAAATGTTGTAAAAATTACTGTGCCAAAAACCATGTACAAAAAGACACTCCAAGCTCTGTCCCAATAAGTCATTTTGAGACAGCCTACAAACATCAAGAAGCACTGGCTAGCAGAGGGAAGGAGGAGTGCTTTAATTGGATCCAGAGTGCTGTAAATCAGTGGGAAAACACTCCTCATAACTTGTCCAGTATTCTATCTTATCATCAGTTAAAGCTGCTTTTTACAGGACCCCAACTTGTTCATTAGAGGACCAATCACTGAGTTGCCTGCTATGGTTAAGCAGATATTCTTGCTGTACATCAGTTTACTTCTCCCTGCCTTTTGCTGCTGGAGAGTTCTTGCCATCCCCATCATGTCTTCATTTCACTTGTTCACAGTGACACAAAAAGTCTCCTGCCTGAGGTCAGTCTCCCCATTATAAAAGTATCCTGTAGAATTAGTCAGTCTCTAAGACAGGCATGTATCAAAAAAAATCAACCTTCAGAAAATGGTAGCAGGCTGTCAGTTCCCATTAGCTAATGCTACCTGGGCAACCTGCTGACTCCCCACCATTGTACGTGGGAGAGATGAGTTTTAATGAGCAGCAGAGGGAGTGGAGAGGAGGCAAAAAGGGAAGCAGTTTAGAAGTGATATTTTGGGTAGCACATGACATAGCTATGTTCAAAGACATGTTCGTGCTGGTGCATGTAAGTATGTAGTTGAATTTTGCAATAATTGTGTGGCTTGCCAGAGCTCACCAGGAACTAGCAGTAATACTGAGTGACTGCATCTTGGCCCTTGTTTCTTCAGTGGCCTCTTCTTTGAACTCCAGCAAAGTTGATCAATACAAGTAGAGTTGTTGCAAACTGTAAAAAGAAATGTGGGATAAGGATCTGGCTACTTGGAAGGAATATGCAAGCACTATCAGGGCATGAAGGGATGCCTGAGGAAGGCTAAGGCCCACCTGCAATTAAATCTGGAGAGAGAGATCAAAGACAACAAGAAGAGATTCTTTAAGTACATCAATAGCAAAAGGAAGTCTAAGAAAAATGTGGTTCCACTACTGAATGAGTTGCGTGCTCTGGTAATAGAGGACACTGAGAAAGCTTCTTTGCTTCGGTCTTTACCAATAAGACTTTCAGGAAAGAGAGAATCTGGAGAAAGGGAGATCTAGTTAGAGATCATCTAGGCAAACTTGATGCAAAAAAATCCATAGGCTCTGATGGGATGTACCCAGGAGTGCTGAGAGAGCTGGCAAAATTGGTTAACAAACCACTCTCTCTCTGTCATCGTTGAAAGGTCATGGAGGAGGGGAGAGGTATCTGAAGGTGGGAGGAAAGCTTATATCACTCTTGCAAAAAGGGCAAGAAGGAAGACCTAGAAAACTACAGGCCAGTCAGCCTCACCTCTGTCCCAGGAAGCCAATGGAACAACTTATTCTGGATGGCATCTTCAAGAAGTAGAAGAAAAGAAGGTTATCAGGAGTAGTTAACATGGATTCACCAAGGGGAAGTCATGCTTGACCAACCTGGTAGCCTTCTGTGATGTCATAACTGAGTAGACAAGGGGAGAGCAGTAGCTGTTGTTTACCTTGACTTGAGCAAGGCTTCTGACACTCTCTCTCATAACATCCTTGTAATGAAGCTTAGGAAGTGTGGAATAGATGAGTGGACAATTAGATGGTTTGAAAACTGATTGACTGGCAGAACTCAGAGGGCTGTGATTAGTGGTGCAGACTTTAGTTGGAGGACTGCAGCTAGCGGTTCCCCAGGGATTGGTGCTGGTCTGGTTTTGTTAAAAAGTTCATCAGCGACCTGGATGAAGGGATAGAGTGCTCCCTCAGTAAGTTTGCTGATGATACAAGTTGGGGAGAGCAGCTGACACACCAGAAGGCTGCACTACCATTCAACAAGACCTGGACAGTCTTGAGAGTTCGGTGGAGAGGAACCTGATGAGGTTCAACAAGGGCAAGTCCTACACCTGGGAAGGAACAACCACATGCATCAGTATGCATTAGGGGCTGATCTGTTGGAAAGGAACTTTGTGGAGAAGGACCTGGGCATTCTGCTGGACAACAGGTTGACCATGAGTCAGCAGTGTGCTCTTATGGCCAAGAAGGCTAATGCTGTCCTAGGGTGCATTAAAAAAAGTGTGGCCAGCAGGTCAAGGGAGGCGATCCTCTCCCTGTACTCTGCCCTGGTGAGGCCACATCTGGAGCACTGCGTCCAGTTTTGAGATCCTCAGCTCAAGAAAGACGGGGAAATACTGGACAGAGTCAGTGAAAGGCAACAAAGATGATTAGAGGATAGGAATGTCTCCCTTATGTGGAAAGGCTGAGACACCTGGGACTGTTCAGCCTGGAGAAGGCTGAGAGGGGATGCTTGTAAATATCTAAGGGATGGATATCAAGTGGATGGAACCAGACTCCTTTTGATGGTGCCCAGTGACAAGTTAAGGTTTAGTGCACACAAACTAGAACACAGAAACCTCTGAGAAAAACGTCAAGAAAAATTTCTTTACTTTGATGGCGATAGAGCACTGGAACAGGCTGCCCAGAGAAGTTGTGGAGCCTCCTACCTCTGGAGATATTTGAAACTAGCCTGGACACTTTCCTGTGCAGCCTATGGTAGGGAATCTGCTTTAGCAGAGGCATTGGACTAGAGGATTCCTGGAGGTCCCTCCCAACCACTACATTTCTATGATTCTGTAGTACAACATAACCGACTTCACAGAAGTTGCTTCCAATGTATTGCAGCTAGTTCTGGAGCGTGGCAAATTGAATCTAAGTAACCAAACACCCTGCAAACAACTAACAGAATCACCAAACATTTAAAGAAGTTGTGAAGTTCTGTATGAAGGTCATAGCTAGGACTAGCAAGGGCAGATCAGGAATGGGATGTATTCAGCTGTGAAATAGTCTACCAAGGACGAAGGCAGAAGAGTCATTTCCCAGAAACTTTTAAGACTAGTTGGCAAAACACTATTAGATATGCAGCAGAGAAGAAACCTGCCTTTCCAAATGCCCCCAGCTCTGGAAGATAGAATAAGCGTGCAAATGATTCTTCTGTCTCTAGAGTACGTGAACATCTGAGATCTGAATTGCTGCAGGTCCCATTCTTCTCCCTGGCATTTGACCTACATTTATATTCTAATTGACTTAGAGTGAAGACACACAAAGCTTTCTCTTTTTTGCCTGGATGCTGAATTTTCAATGAAAATATAAACTGTGTCATTAGATGTTGGGCAGATATTGGGTGTAAAGGAGACGGTTTAAGCTGCAAACAGCACAGTTTATTTCAATTAGTCATTCTGCGTACAGAATACTTGTGACTTGCAGTGACTCTACTTTTGAAGAGGAAATACATTAGTATAACTAAATGCACCCCCACTGGATATTATTGTTAGCACAAAGCTTACTGCTGACGAGTGTTGAAGATGTTATGTGTCTAGGTTAGTTTTCTTGGACAGTTCATCCATCTTCACACTGGGAGCTGCTTAAGGAAATGCTTTTTCTGCCGGGGCCTTATACTTGATGTGTAAGTGGTGCAACTATTTGTTTTGTTAAGATATTTGTGTCTTATCAGGTTGTCTATACTCACAGCCTGATTTTGATTGTCTCTAGGATAGCATAGTGTTATGCTTGGATAAGCAGGAGACTAGACCCACTACTAAAGGTCTCCAATAACATGAGATAAAACATTTCCTCCGTCATTACAGTCTATCAGTAATCAGATGCTCCTGGGCCTCCCCGTCCCTTTTTGGCTGAAAACTAAAAATATCTCTTTTAGTTTGTGCATCAGAGGGAAGTTTGCCTAGGGGAGCTGCTTGCATCATTTATTATTAGGAACCTTTAGATGTTAGGAATTCTAGATCTTCTCTTCATCTTGCTATCAATTTGCAAGAGTTTCCTCTCCCATTTCACATTCACCACAGACAAGGAAGTCTAGTGTACAGTTGAGACTTGGCTAGGGTAGGAATTCTGTTAGTTTAGAACATCTGGGCTCTTTATGCAAGGACTTTCTTGCTTGAGCTCACAGAGCTCTCAGCAGCTCATGACCAAGAGAAAATATGCCTCTCAAATATTTAACCTTAAATAGGGCCTCCTTCATGTGGTAGTATAGGGTCAACTGTATATATACAATAAATACCATACAAGTCTGAGGATTGCCCAAGAAGGTAGCTCTCCAAATAGTTCCCCTAGCATGTTTCGGCTTCCCTAGAACATCAGGCTTTGTTAAGGCCAATTTTTCTGAGGTTTGACAACACGAGGCTCCAACAGTTCCATTTCCTTATTGTTTGAGGCTGCCTGACAAGTTTGAGTTCTTCTCTGGAGTGTAAAGGGCAGATGCGTATTTTGTTTTGGTCTCATAACCATTGTGGACCAACAACTAATACAAAGAAGAGAAGGAAATAAATCTCTCCTTTTGTTAGGCTTGCCTGAATGAGATTTCCAAGGCCCCAAAAAGACTGTTGGAGACTTCCATGTTACTTTGACTTTTGTGGAAGGTATTCAAAAATTGTCACAGGCAGCAGATTCAAAGCCTTTAAATAGGTTAAAAAAGTAGGTTGCCCCTCATCCACAGGGCAAAAAAAAAAAAAAAAAAGTTGTGTTTTCACTATTCCTCCAGAGCAAGTAGCTAGTTTTGGCAGAGTTTTTGTGCCTGAAGGCATCACAGTATAATGTGTCTCATAATGGCTGCACACTGCATGCTGTGAGCTGTGGAATTTGGAGAAAAGGTACCCGGGCTGGCCAGGAGAGCAGTGTACTCCCAGCTGCCTTTGTTTCCCCATCACCTTGTATTGCCTTCCCATCAGATGTGAAGGTAAGATAGTGCTCTCCTCACCACCACAGATGTGGTGGAGGGAAAGGCATTCTCCCCGGTCTGCCTTATGGCTGCCTCTTCTGGCAGGCGTACAGTGCATCCTGTTGTGCTGACTGTGGGCAATATTGCCTCATCATGAAAGGGGATACAGAAACAAAGCAGATGGGGCAGCATGCTAAGATATTCAGGGAGGATCTGTGATAGCCATTCCTGATACAAGGCAGTGGGAAGGGGAGACGGGCCTGACTAAGCAGTGCAGAGGAGGCAGTAAGGAAATGGGGCTTTATTCTCCTTTGAAGTAGCAAGGAAGGGTGCTTGAATGTTTGCTGCCTACTGGAGGTATCTACATTAAATCCCATGCTGAGCATCAGGCTTCTTGAGTAGCTTTGTGGGGGGTTTCTCTGTGCCTTAATTCTTCACTTGTAAGACGGGATGCAGAAAACTTGTACCCTGGGGGCATGGGCCTTGCAGATGCCTTGCAAATTCCCAGAAGTGATCCCATGTTATCACAGGCAACTGTAATGAACATAACCAAGCAGGTAGGTTTTCTTGGCCTAACTATGGCCACTGTAAGGCTCTAACTTGAAACCAGAGGTTCTGATGGACATTCTTCTCCTTATTTCATCCTAAACACAATCATAAAGTCATAGAGTATCCTGAGTTTGAAGGGACCCACAAGGATTATCAAGTTCAACTCTTTTCTCCATGCAGGACCACCTAAAAATTAGGTGTCTTTGTCTGAGAGTGTTGTCCAAACACTTCTTGAACTCATGCAGGCTCCTCCTATTTCTGACCTACCCTATTTCTTATCTCTGGAGAGAATCACGTTGAAGAGGAATTGTGAGGTAGCAGTACTAATGGTAATTAGGCTGTTCTTCAATGGTGGGGGACAGGGAAGGAGAGGCAGTGTGATGGTGTGCCTGAAAAAAGTCTGAGAGGGGGGGCTGTGGGCAATCTCCTCTGTGCACCAGGACAGAGTGTGCCAGAGTCCCTGTCATGAGACACAGTGTGGGGGCAAGACACAGAAAGATACTGGAGTACAGGTGGCACAGGAGAAAATCTCTTAATTTCATAGCTTAATTAAGCATCACGTAGATTACACTGGACATACTGTGGTGCCATTGGTATATCTTAATGCTAGAGGGAATGAGGAAAAGCAAGCCATTTGGGGGAGTGCTTTTTCTGCTCTTGCTGATAGAAACACTCCATTGTAGATATCTGGATTTCTAGAAATATGCCTTTACAGAGGGGAATAACAAGAAGAAGCTTGGCTCTTTAAGTCCCTCTGTTTCCTATAATGAATTGGGGTCTTCCTCCACCATATGCCCAGACAGAGAGGAAAGGGAGCACGTGCAATCAGTTCTCACTCAGCTAACCAACGAGATGTGAAATAGGTTCCAGGGTGGATGATACCCTTGAACGAAGTCACACTGACTTGATTGCTGTGATAATGTATGGATACTCTTTCCTGTAAAGTCTTCCATGTAATTGAACCCTGTTGTCTGGTAACTGGTATCGGGTGAGTAAATTGTTGCTTTCCAATGGAGGTTAAATGCTGCAAGCTTTGTTCACAGCATCTTATCCAACTGTCCCAAGCTCTCTCTTTACCAATGGAAACTTGCCCTTCAGGGAGACCCTGAGGCATGCAAATGACAGAGGGATTCCTACCTCCTTTACAAGCATCCTGAATGCAAAATGTTTTATAGTGTGGAAGTCATGGTAGGCC